CCCCCCTCCTGGAAGGTGCGTCTTTGTGCCGCAATGGCACAACTGAAGAGGGAAGGAGGGGGCTCTGAACGAGGTGCAGGCAAAGGACAGGGAACAGGAAATGGAGGCAGCAGGAGGGACCAGGGTGGCAAAGACATTGGGAGGAGCCAGGAGCAGGAGAATCCAGGCAGGGACCCAGAATCCAGCCAGGACGGAGGCCCATGGTGGAGTCGAGGGAGGGAGAAGCCATGGTGGAGGTAGGGCTAACACCAGGGACCCGACTGACAGAGACGGAGCCGATGGAGGTGGAGCCCAGGGCAGAGACGGAGAGAGGAATAACCAGGGTGACACCGTGGGTCTGGAGGGCCAACTTGGAGCTGATGGCTCACATGACTAAGGCGAAGGCAGGCACTCGGAACATCGCGGCGGAGTCGGAGCAACTGAGGACAAAGTTGGAGCCGGAGGCAAGGAGGGGCCAGATGGAGCCTGAGGGATGGAGGGGCGAGGCGAAGCCGGAAGAGTGGAATCCTGTGGCGGAGGCAGGTCGACGACTGACCAAGCGGAGCCGGAGAGACAAGGGAGCCTGGTGGAGCCCGTGTGATGACTGGCCACCGTGGAGTCAAGTGATCAATGAGCCAAGGCGGAGCTGATGGGTCGGGGGGCCTAGGTGGAGTCTGGGACGCGGAGGCCGGAGGTGGAGACAGGGAATCCTCACACCTAGGTGGAGCTGGGGACTGGAAGGCCCGAGGCAGAGCTGCACAACAGGATAGAGCAGACTGATGATGAGCTAAGGGACTGGCAGGAGCCAGCGGAGGCAGGGCCGAGGAAATATCTGAATCTGGAAGAGGAGGTGGGAGAGGGAGGCTGGGTGGAATAACAGGAGCTGGGCAGAACCAGCGGGGATGGTAGAATCAGGGAAATAAACACCTCTAAACACTCAAAATAAACATCAGAGACCAGGCACAGCTCACCCTCAGCAGCAGGAGTGTAGGCGGGAATTCCCTCCATGCCCTCCAACTCCACAAGTACTCCCTTAATGATGGACGATGTTGCTGGCTCACACACCTGGTCAGACGTGTTGTAAGGCTCAGGCTCCAGGGTGCGCTGACTCGTGTATCGCGGCGGGCTCAGGCTCTCCATCTGTGGTGGGCTCTGTCATCATGTCCATGCAGCAGGGTGATGGCTGGCTGGGCTCTGGGTCACAGGCAGTGATGGAAACACCGCCATACCAGAGTACCCAGCCCAAATACTCCAGCAAACTCCTCTGTTCCGGGAGGAGGAGGAGGTGCACTGCTAGTGAATCCATCTTTCTGTAGTTTAGGTCTGGTATTCTGTAACGTGTTGTGCAGGATCAAGCACACAATGCAGGAGAAGTCAACAAACTAACAGTCTTTAATAATAAATCCAATGGGAAAACTCAGGAGAAACCGTGACACAACTAAAACTTACAAACAATACCAGACAAGGATCTGACTAAAACTGAGGGCTTAAATAGACAGATGATTAACAGAATCAGAACAGGTGAGAACTAATGAGTAACTATGGAAACAAATGAGTGGAATGAAAATGGGAACAAAGGAAAATGGGTCAAATTAAACAAGGAACACAGAACTAAAACAAAACAGAAAATAACCCTGACAGCCCAAGTACAGTACATAATTGTTTTTTGTTTCAGTGTTCAGACAAGTCCTGCCTCCGGACCCCATCCATGAAGAGACGCCCCACTGACAGCAGTGCTGAGGGGAAAAAAGATACTGGCATGTTAAAGTACATACGCAACCAGGTATCTCCTTACTGTCTACTACTGATGTACAAACTATTGCTGTTGTTACAAAGCCATACTGATTGTGTGTTAGTTGTGTTAGGTGTACTATGTTCTATTCCTTTAGGTAATGAGTCTATCTCCAGCCCCTCTGTCCTTGCTTATAAAAGCAGCCCCTATCCTGACTGAGGACATGTATGGAGACATTTTGCCTGCAGCATGGGAGCTTCTGCTGAGTGTGGATGAACATATGGCTGCAGCTGCAGGTCTGTCTAGCTAATATATTCCTCTCTTGCTGGAGAATCTAGTCATTAGTAAGTTAATGTCGTTTTTGTCAACTGTGCTACACATTTTAAATCTCAGGGATTTTTAACACATTTAACACAGTGCAAAACTTGTGCAGCCTATATTCATCCATCCATTTCTTAAAAGGATTCTCTATGTCCATAATAATTATCATGCAAACACACAGCTGCCCTGTTCCTGCTGTGCGCTGTGAAGGTGCCGGATGGAGTGACCGAGATGATGATGGCTGAGTTTCAGCACAAGGAAGCATGTCAGAGAATTAACTCTATTTTGAAATTCTACACTGTTTGGAGATTCCGGTACCAAGTTTGGCCTCGGATGGAGGAGGGGGCTCAGCAGATTTTTAAGGTAGGTCTGTTTTCATTTTTTTAATTTGACTACAGTAAGCTTGTACACTTTTAATTTCTATGCATATTCTACTCTGATATTATTTTGTTTTAAATCATTATAACAAAATAATATAAATATTGACAATATCTCAACTTTTTTCAATATATCTCTCTGTGTTCACGTTGTTTCATAGATTCCTCCACCCAGCATTAACTTCACGCTGCCCTCTCCTATCCTGGGAATGCCCTGTGTGCCTATATTTGACCCTCCATGGGTTCCTGTTAATGCAGGCACTGTTCCGGATGCAATCAGTGAAGATCAGTCTGTATGTTTTAGCTGCCTACCGCATCAAAACTTTGCTGCCATAAGACAAAATGGTCATGCACAAATTTTACAGAAGATTTTTCCCGTTACATTTCAGAAATCATTCTCTGCACGTGCAGTATCTCGCTCTCACCAACGGGCAGAGCACATCCTGAAGAACATGCAGCAGGAGGAGGAGAAGAGGAGACTCGGTCGTGAGGCCAGCATCATCACAGCCATCCCTATCGCTCAGGAGGCCTGCTATGAGCCCACATGTAGTCCCCCACCCGAGCAGGAAGAGGAAGGTGTGTCATTTCTGTGCTGTGCAGTTAGAGTTATCATAATTATATCTAATTTTCTTGATATTTTCATTTTACTATGAAAACAGCATTAACTTAACCATAACTCAAAGCATGGTCCAAAAAGAACATTGATTTTAACTAAGCTGGCAAACATATTGTTATACGTACGAAATTCAGAAAAATTAGGTAGTATTGTTATCTAAAGACTTTAGTCTAAAGACTAAATATATAATTTAATGTATTTAAGTTGATTCATCGATATTAAATAATATTTTACATTAACATTTTATTTACATTAACATTTGTTTTTCAGTGTACAGCTCTTCCCTGTAAGTTACATAGTCTTAAAGATTAAAAAAAATTGAATTGTTTGATGTTTCATTGCCAAAAAGAGAGTGGAAAGTGGTCATTATTATTGGATTCAAGGGAGAACAAATTTATGATATGACTTCTTTATGTGAAGGTTGTCAGGATTTGATTTTGAAACATTGATTTCGCTTTAAGCCCAATGATCAGTCCTGAAACAATTTGAAACCTTATGGGTTTTCAGAACATGATCATATAGATGAGCTGTTTATGAACACATATAATATCTGGTGTCCTCTTCTCTGTCAGTAGAAGATGTGATGAACTTGACATCACGTCGTCTGTCCGTCAGCCCCTCTTGTGCCTCCAGTAACTCCCACAGAAACTACTCTTTCCGCAGGGGCTCTGTGTGGTCAGTGCGGTCAATGGTCAGTGCTGAAGGTAAGAAACATTCAAAATGATGCATATTCACATACTGCTTTATTCACTGACCTGTTCACTTTTTCACCATGAATACGTTTATGTACAGATTAAGGAATCATAAAATCTTATATTTATTGACTGCCATTGAATTTTTTGTTTTATAAATATGGTTTGTTTTACCTTACAAGATGACGAGAACACGACAGAACTCACACCAACACATCACATGCTGCAGCCACCCCAGTCTGTTTTCCCACCATGTATCTGTGCTGCTGTGTTGCCCATTGTGCACCTGATGGAAGATGGAGAAGTTCGGGAAGATGGAGTTGCAGGTGAGTGGCAAAGAAGATTTAAAAAAACTAAAAACATTTTACCCACTGATCTTTTGTCTACTTTGTTTCTTTGTTTTGTGTTCCCACAGTTTGTGCTGTTGCTCAGCAGGTCTTGTGGAACTGCCTGATTGAAGATCCAGCCTTGGTTCTTAGACATTTCCTGGAGAAACTCACAGTCAGTAATAGACAGGTAAGATCACTAAATAAATCACTCTTTCAGAGAAGAAAAGATGAGCGTGTGCTGTTATATGATGAAACATATGTTATGGTTATTGTTCTCAGGATGAGCTGATGTACATGCTGAGGAAACTGCTTCTTAACATTGGGGATTTGCCTGCACAGACCTCACACATTCTTTTCAACTATCTGGTGAGACCTTAGCATGCTTTTTCATCACTAATGTGATTACTGCAGAATTTGTCTTTAAATGCCATAGTAGCTTATGTGAGCACTCTTAAAAATAAAAAAGCTGCCGGAAAGAACCAAAAAAGGGGTTTTGCAGCAATTGATGGATTGAAATGGATTCAGTTTACAACACCTTTATTACCTTTTTGGATCTTGTAAGTTTTTGTTACCTGGACTCTCAGTGGAGAGACAATATCCTCACAAGTTTCATTAAAATATCTTAATCTGTGTTTTGAGATTAGCCAGAGTCTTATTGATTTGAAACGACATGAGGGTGAGCAAATGACAGAATTTTCATATTTGGGTGAACTATGCCTTTTAGAGGAAAGGATGGAGATACTAGGGCTGGGTAAATAATATAGATATCTCGATTTATACAGTGGGGAAAAAAAGTATTTAGTCAGCCACCAATTGTGCAAGTTCTCCCACTTAAAAAGATGAGAGAGGCCTGTAATTTTCATCATAGGTATACCTCCGACATGAGTGAGCAAATGACAGAATTTTCATATTTGGGTGAACTATGCCTTTTAGAGGAAAGGATGGAGATACTAGGGCTGGGTAAATAATATAGATATCTCGATTTATAATCGATTCTCATTTTTACGAAACGATATCGATTCTTAAATCCCAAGAATCAATTAGCCTGTTTTCAGTTAATGGATGGAACATTGAAGGGCATCTCCCATCCAGTAAATCGCATTTTGCTTTGGTACTTTTAATATGAAATAAAGTCGCAGATTTCAAATTATGTTCATTGTATTGCAGTATTCAAACAATAAATGCCATTTTGGCCCTGTTTAATGTGTAGTGATCGCTGTAGCGCGGCGCGCCTCTGTTCAATAAAAGCAGCAGCGAGTAGCGCACGTGAACTGATCATCTCCTCCACATTAATACCAGTTTCAGCACAAAATAAACATGACTAAACATCCGAAGGTAAGTAAAAGAAAAAAGAGTACAACTTTACAATCCATATCCTGTCTCATGTATTCGCTCAATCAGTGTTTCAGCCGCTCAAAGATGTCAATATAATGTCTTGTAAACAATATCACGTAACGTCACATTTACCTAAGGAAAAAAATATATTCTGTGACCATAATCTCATTAGTCAGCTAGAAAAATAAACTGTAGAGAGGGGCATTTTGCTAAATATATGCATAAAATGCATAATTTTATGACAACCACCATTTAAATGTTTATATTTAAAAAAAATTGAAGTAGAAATATTATTATGTAATTGTAACTTTTATTATAAAAACTTCATTAAGTGTAATTTAAGCAGTTGTATAGCCTAAAAAATCAGTCAATTGTAACCTTCAATATTATAGTAATGTAGTACCAACTGACTCTCATGTATATTTTACAGCATTAGTTAAGAGATTTTTATTCCTTGAGAAAATTTGGCATGTTTACCAGATATATATCCAAAATAATCGATATTGAATCGAATTAGAAAAATAAACTGTAGAGAGGGGCATTTTGCTAAATATATGCATAAAATGCAACCACATTTAAATGTTTATATTAAAAAAAAAATTTGAAGTAGAAATATTATTATGTAATTGTAACTTTTATTATAAAAACTTCATTAAGTGTAATTTAAGCAGTTGTATAGCCTAAAAAATCAGTCAATTGTAACCTTCAATATTATAGTAATGTAGTACCAACTGACTCTCATGTATATTTTACAGCATTAGTTAAGAGATTTTTATTCCTTGAGAAAATTTGGCATGTTTACCAGATATATATCCAAAATAATCGATATTGAATCGAATCGCAAGCTTGTGAATAAGAATCGAATCGTGAAATTTGTGTCAAAACCCAGCCCTAGGAGATACAGTGATCTCATTCTGCAGATCTACATACCAAACTAGACATGTGCAATCTGTTATTTTTTTCTAATTTTTTTCCCCAAGGTGGGCTTGATCATGTACTTCGTAAGGACTCCCTGTGAGTGGGGCATGGATGCCATATCAGCCACATTGACCTTTCTATGGGAGGTGGTAGGTTATGTCGAGGGGCTCTTTTTCAAAGACCTTAAACAGACTATGAAGAAAGAACAGTGTGAGGTCAAGCTTCTGGTTACTGCCTCCATGCCAGGTTGCATATTTCAGCATTACTCCATATAGACAATAAGTTTACTAGTGTCTTTTTCATGTTTATAACGGTGCCTGTAATTGTGTGCCTAGGAACCAAAACCCTGGTGGTTCATGGACAGAATGAGTGTGACATTCCCACCCAGTTACCAGTGCATGAAGACACCCAGTTTGAAGCCCTTTTGAAGGTCATTATTATATTATAGATGTAAATTTGTTCTATATAGACAAGTTATTAGATCATTTTGCTATATTTTCACAATATAACACTTTTTTTTTTGTTATTACTTATATGCTTTCACACCAGGAGTGTTTAGAATTCTTCAATATACCAGAGGCTCGATCTGCTAACTATTTTTTGATGGATAAGCGTTGGAACCTTATACACTATGCCAAGGTGGGTTGTGGTTGTTTCTGAACAGATCTATACATTTCAAAGGATACATACTGTATATTCTTGATAGTAAACACCAGATTGTTTATATGTTGACTGAAAATTGGTTTCCCTCTCTACATCAGACATATGTGCGAGACATCTACCCTTTCCGAAGATCAGTATCTCCTCAACTCAACCTGGTTCATATGCTTCCAGAGAAGGGCCAGGAGCTCATCCAGAAACAGGTGAGTTTTGTTAATTTTAGCATTAAGGGAGAAAGTGTTTTTACTGAACGACTTAGGCTAGTTCACATAATGGAGTTTTTTGTAATATGAAGCAGGCCCGTTTCTAGGCATAGGCAATCTAGGCGGTCATGACCAGCAGGAGGGGCACCAATGAACGCATGTACTGGCACTACATTTTAGCAGGGTTGTGTTAAAGAGTGGCACGACCACCCTGAAATATGATTGGCGCCCCCACTAGATCCCGGCTGATTGTTTTATGCAAAATTTGCATTTGGAGCGCTCAAAAACACAGTTAGATCAATGAATTCTGTATGGAAGCCCGTTTCCGCCACTGAATAAAAAAGGTAATTGCACATTTTTATCTCACATTTCTGACTTTTTTCTCATAATTGCGTGATACAAACTCGCAATTCTGACATTTTTTCTCAGAATTGCGTGATATAAACTCACAATTGCAAGTTAAAAAGTCATAATTGTGAGATATAAATTCGCAATTCTGAGAAATAAAGTCAGAATTGCGTGATATTAACTCGCAATTGCGAAAAAAAAGTCAGAATTGCAAGTTTTTGTCTCGCAATTGTTACTTTATATCTTGCAGTTCTGAATTTATAACTCTCAATTGCGAGTTTATATCTCACAATTCTGTGAAAAAAAAAGTCAGAATTGTGAGATAAAAAGTCGCAATAACCTTTTTTATTTTTTATTCAGTGGCGGAAACGGGATTCCATAGTTCTGTCAGTGCTTTGACAAGGTAACGCTTTTTTTTTGCTATGCAATAAAGCTAAGTTCAAAGGCCAATTTAAAATAATGGTACAAGTAAAAAGTGCACAGTTGTGGCAGGCAAGAAATCATGCTGTGAAATTGGTTCAAAATCTGTGCATTTTTGCACCAATGCGTTGTTAAAGGATCAGTGTGTTGTGTAATATATTCCCATATAAAACTTTAATGGACAATTAAAAAATATTAGTATAGTAAAATTCGCTAATTCACAAGATCAATGCATCCTTTATTAAACCGCTTTGTTGAATTTACGTATCCTTACGGAAGTGTTGAAATGCTGAATTAATTCATTCACTTCTAACAGCGCTTAATGGGAGCAGCGACATACACATAGAGGGCAGAGCTTTGCATTATTTAAAGTTCACGCGTCAGCAGGGGTGTGAAGTAACGAATTACAAATACTCACGGTATAGTAATTAAGTAGTTTTTATCAGTAATTGTACTTTTTTGAGTAGTTTAAAAATTGTGTACTTTTACTTTTACTTGAGAACATTTTAAGTGCTGTATCGGTACTTTTACTCTGCTATTTTACTCCGTTTGTGGTCGTTACATGCTTATTTAAAAAAAAAAATGTATCCATCAACGTGATTGGATAGAGAGATAGTAATAGGTCTCGTGACTTTCGTCAAATCAAATTGTGCATAGAAAACTTTAACTGCCAACTGTTTATCATGGCTGCTTGAAGTGCATTCTTCAAGCATCAATTCAGTCGCATCTTCCTCTAACTTAATATATTAAGGTAAATTTTGGATTTCTGCTTACTAAATTATTTGTATATATGCTTGCCTATCTACACGGCCTGAAATTTGGTGTGAGGTTATTATCAGGTATTGCATACACTGTTAACTCCCGCAAGTACCACATTCGGTAAATTCCCACTCACTTATAAGACGCACGATCTGCGCTGCCTCGTCTCTCTCGCGTGCGTTCTGCAGCAGTCACTTGGATAAGTTGTTGTTGAACTTGTTAACTTTTGATGAGTTTGAGCGCGTGATGCGCGCTGTCAAAAAGTGTGTTGGAAACACAAATTGAGGACCAATCTGCACCTTATTGATAACCCGTGGCGTTAATATACTGCATCTGTGCCAGCGCGTGATGTAATAAAACTGCAGCTCGTTAATAAACTTTTTTTTT